GCAAAAATGGGTTATTATCAATAAACCAATGTCTACCTCCTTGCTTTGGCTTTGAGAGCCATCCTTACTCTGTAGCTCAGGCTGACTTTGAACGCAATGATCCTCCTACCTCGTCTTCCTGAGTGCTGGGATTTCAAACATGTAGCATAGCTGCTGGCTAATAAAATTAAATTAGTATAATTTACTATAGACTACCCAAGGAAATGAAGATTTAAATTAGCAATTAAAGGAGATTTCTGCTAAAGACTAACTAGAAGAAAGCTCAGCAAGCATAGCACTTAATTGAGCAGCTTTAGACTCTTCAGTTGGAAGATAAAAAGGCCTGCTCATTACAATTACTATGAAACACAGACTGACCGACAAACCTATCCATGCCAACGAAAGGGAATGAGAAGGATGAGGACCGAAGAGGAGGGAAAACTACCACTATCTGCATTTATATTTGGACACAGAACCCAAAGACATCATTAACATTGGAATTAAGCACTCATCACTACAATACATCAATACACCAAATTCAATATATTTCTCTGTGTCAGAAATAACAGGCTACAATTTTCAACGGTAATAAGAATTATAAAACGCCAAGGAATGAGCCAATTAAATGTTCTAAATAAACAGACCAGAGTAACAGAGATTTTTTTTACACTGTAAGTATGTCAATTCTTTTTAAATTCATCTACAAATTCAACTAAATTCCAGTGTGAATCTTGTTTGTTTTAGGGAATTGATAAACTGAAGCTAAAACCTAGACAAAAGAATTTTATTTCTAGCAGAGTAATACAAGGATGAGCTACTTCCCTACTAGACAAAGAGGCATGCTATGGAGTGGTGGGGAAGCTGGGGAAGCAGCTCAGTGAATGAAGTGCTTGCCTTGCAAGTGTGAACCTAAGTTTGAATCCCAGAACCCATGTACAGATGGGTGTAGTAGTGTGTGTGCCTGTAATACCAGCATTCCTGTAGGAAGATGGAGGGTGGAGACAAGAGGGTGCCCTGGAAGCCTGCAGGCAAGCTAGCTTGGCACAAGCAGTGGAAAAAGACGAGAGACCCCATAGCTGAGGACTAGCCTTGAGGTTGTTCTCTGAGCTCCACATGCGTGCTTCGGCATGCATGAACCTGCACATGCACGTCATACACACAGATTAAAATGTATTGTCCTGTATATACTGATAGAATATCTTCACACCTCTAAGGATTGCTACAGAGTGAAATGAGGAAAATGTGTGTTGTGTGAGGGAAGCTGATTTGATTACAGTTCTTTTCAGTAGACCAAGAAGACACTCAGATACGACTCAAAATGATACAACCAGGCAGCAAGGGCATTTAAGTTTATAGAAAGGTACAGGCTATTAAGAAAATGGCATGGCAGAGGGAGCATCCTTTAGGTAAACATCCTGTGCACAGGTAGCATGAAGTAAGAAAAACCCCCGGCAGTAAGTTCTAACTTCCTGCAAGGACAGAGTGCTGATTTTGGTTTGAGACAGGGACTCCTGCAGCCCAGGCTGGCCTCCACCTCACTCTGCAGCACAGGATGACTTTCAACTCCTGATCTTTCTGCCTCGACTTTCCAAGTGCTAGGAGCACAGACTTGTACCACATTATGCCTCGCTCCTGTTTTTTTCCCCTCTTATAAACAGAGGGAGAAGGAAGGGTTCTGGCTAACTCTTTTTCCTTAATGAGCAGAGGACTTAAGTTGGATTCAAACCTCAAAGGATAGCTAAGAAATTCAACTCCAATAAAATGTAAATGGAAAAACAATAAAATAACAAAAAGGGAGATGTGAAACAAACTCCTAAGGAGAATTTCCACCCCGTTAAAGATAGCAACGATAAGAATTAATAAATGACAAGAGAAAGTTATCTCCAACTTCTCCGTCCGATAGGCAAATGATCCTGGAAATATACAGTATCTTACACTGAAAAGTGAGCAAACAAGTACAGCCCATAAATGGGAAACTAGAATGACTGAAAAAAATAGTATACACTTCCCTATACAAAAAATAGTATAATCTTGGTAGCACCTGGACTGAGGAATGCCTGGGTTAGTAAAGCACACTCTGATTGTCCAGAGACGATTAGATTTAGAGGTCTCCGATCAAATAAGTGGGCTAAACCTTTGATGGACGGAAATATGACAGCATTAGCGGAGGCAGTGATGGCGGCGGGGCTACTTACAGCAGGCAGGTAACTGGGGCATGTCCTTGGCTGTAGCTTGCCCTGTCCTGTCCTGTCCTGTATCCACTCTGCTTTCTGGACAGGACCTGCTCGGCTACCATGATGGACGGACACTTTTCAAACATAATAATAAATGAGCAAAAACAAGAAACCTGTAGGAGGCACACCTTACAGAAAGCATCAGAAAAACCAGACTTGTTAAACATGAAGGTTTTTTCTTCAAGGGAAGGAAATGTCTGTCTACTGGGAAGGCTAGAGTGGATGTTGGACAACAACACTGGTCATCTTTTGCTATTCTATGGAGTAGCCTTCACCCGAATCCCCCCAAATCCTGAGCTTTGTCTCTCAAGTGTTTAGAACCCATCCTTATGAAAAAGGTCCTAGGTACTTTGCATTCTTAATTAATAAAATCCATCTTTATGCTTATTACAAATTCTTTCCCCCCAGGTTTATAACCTGAACACTATTTTTCTGTTAATGAGAGCCAGTCTTATGGTAAAGACCACTGGTGTTTTGCTAAAGAGATGTACTTTGCAAAGGAGTTTCTATGTAGCCATGTCTACAGCTTTGTTGTAACTGTCACATGGAAACCCTTCCCTGAAGTTTTACTATGTTTAAAGCTTGGTCAGACTCTAGAAGTTTTTGACACAGTGTGGGCTAAGTTGTGACCCAGGTTTCATTCTTAGCCTCAGGAGGATAGTTTCCCTGCTAGCTATGATGCTTGCAGGGACCCCAACATAGGCTCTTGCAGTAGGTTGTTTCTGTAAGATTATCACAGAGTGAGGAAACTAACTCACACATATTCTCAGCAGCCAGACAATGCAGATTAAGAAAAAAACAATTAAATAGATTAGATTAACAAAAAAATTGTAAAAAAAAATTCAGGTACCAGGGAAATGTAAGAGAAATGAGAAATGCTCATGTCTTGCTGGTAGATGGGAAAACTGGAACAACCTTTCCAGAGAGTACAGGTATAGTTTCTAAATTAAATACATACATGTGAAAGATCTCGGTAACTTTAAGACAAACAGAAGTGGCCAAGTAAACTCATTGAAGACCAATCTGCAGATGTAGGAAGAGACGGGATACAGTGTCTGTGACTAGATGAGAAAGTGAACTATGGTTTGCAGACAAAATGGAGGAACACCTGCTAGCCAAAAGCACCCGAAGAGATTTGAAATCCCAATTTTATAAAAGTAATAAGCAGAATAAAATTTATACCTCAATATAATTTATTGAAACTTAAAAATTTCCAAACTTCTTAGGGAGCTCTATCCAAAGTATGGAAGATATCTAGGAAAGACAAACACTAAATGCAGGTGGGAATGAGAAGCAGGGGTGAAACTGGTGTCACCAATGATGAATATAATCAATAAATTATGAGCAAAACCCAAAGCTTATTTTAAGTGAGGAGAAACACTTTAAAGACTTAAGTCGCCACATGATTTATAAGGAACTAACTGGCTTTAAATAAAGTTTATTTTCTCAAGAAATAAACTAAGATGCTACACAATATAAAAAGACTTTTCAAGGCAACACTAAGAAAAGAAAATTTCTTGAGTTTGGTAAATATTCCATTTGCTTTTCTTTTTTGGTTTTTAATTTTTATCTTTTGAGACGGGGTCTCTCTTGTAATCTTGGCTGTCCTGGAGCTCACTAAGGAAGCCAGGTTGCCTTTGAAGGCACAGATGTGCCTGCCTCTGCTGTGATTAAAGATGCATGCCATCATGTTCAGTTTCAACTTGTTAAAAAAAAAAAGTTAAATTTTGTATTGCCATGCTCACCACTAATTTTTTTTAAATATTTATTTATTTATTATGTATACAATATTCTGTCTGTGTGTATGCGTGCAGGCCAGAAGAGGGCACCAGACCTCATTACAGATGGTTGTGAGCCACCATGTGGTCGCCGGGAATTGAACTCAGGACCTTTGGAAGAGCAGACAATGCTCTCAACCACTGAGCCATCTCTCCAGCCCCCTCACCACTAATTTTAATTGTTCTTGTGTGTCGGCATGAGTTTATGTGCACCACATGCGCGCAGTACCTGTGGAGGCCAGAAGGGGGCACTGGGCTCCTGAAACTAGAGTTACACATGGATGTGGATGATAGGAACTGAACCTAGAGATAATCTGCAATAGTAAACACTTGTCTGCTGAGTCACCTCTCTTGGACCTAATTTTAATTTTTACCTAAATACATGTGAATTTGAGTTTTGGGTATACTCTGTAACATTTACGAAGGATTTAAAATGTTTAAGTACATAAGGAAAAACCTGTAAAACATAAAATTCACACCATTTTAGTGTTTACTGTCCTTAAAAAAGGAAGCTCCAATAAGAGACAGATGAGGCATCTATCTTCAATGTTAGCAATGAAGACATTAAAAAATAATGAAACTTAAAACTTACAGTGAGTAGGTTTCAATCTGGAATGTAGGTCTTCAAACTCAATGTTGTTTTTATTTATTGTGTGTGTGTGTGTTTGTGACACAGTACAACTGTGGAGGTCAGAGGGCAGCTTGCACTGGCTGGCTCACCCCTACCATGCGGTTCTGGAACTGAACTCAACAAGTCAGGCTTCATGATAAGGATGCTCTTACCCACTGAGACATTTTCTCACTGGCCCAAGTCTCCCAACATTTAAATTCGAGATTTTTTTTTAACTCACCTGTTAAATTTTTCTACAAATGAAAATCTACTATTTTTCTTTAAATAAAAAAGAAATAGAACACGACTCAATGGTTTGTAGTACCATAACTATATACAATGTACAAAAACTCCCCATAGACTATATTTTCAAGTTAACATTTATCTTGAAAAACAAAATCAAGTTTAAAATATTTTTATTTCTCCAGTAAAATATTTTCACAGTATATTAAAAATAAAACTTTAACTGTAATCTGTTCCTTTTATCATTAAAGAAAGCACAAGATAAACATTAGCTATACTTAGGAAGTGATAACTGCGATACACCAGACAGGGTCAAGTCCCTGAATAAGATATTAGACCATGAAAACAGATTTATTTGTCTCATTTTCTTTCCAAGCTGACAAAGTACAGTTAAAAAAATTTGAAGCTTATTTTCTTAGTGTACCTTATGATTTATTTCCCATGAGGTAGCACTATAAAATAATAATGTTGAGGCTGTGGCCAGTACATCCCTCTCCTCTAAAGTCACCCTAAGTCTGTGGGACTAAAATACAAAAGCCAGGAATGTTTCTGCCTTTCTAGTCCTACAACTGCTTTTCTAAAATTTTGGTAAAAAAAAAAAAATGGATGTATATCAGGTTAATACTGTAACCTAGCATAGTCAGGCAAACAATAAAGACCCTAAAAGAAACAGCTGTGCCATTTATTTGCCTAAGCTCTCTTCTTACACAGCTTCTACCAATCACAAATTCTATCTTAAAGCTCATCTCCTAAAAAAAAAAAGGGAAAATATCTAAATAGTACTGACTCAACATCTCCTTTCTATTTTACTACTACTATTTAATCCAGATGTCTAGAGTAACAGACATGCGAGCAGTAATCATCTCACTGCAGTTCATATTTGTCAAAAGCTTGTTTTGAGGGCTAGAGACACAGCCCAGTGGTAGAGTATTTAATTCGCTTTCTTAACTAGAAGGCTGCTACCCTCAGTGTTAGAAAACAGGCCTAACAAAAACAAGTACCATAAGTATTTATCTCCATCTTAAGATAAAAGGATAGGTTAATAATTATAGTATAATTTCAAACAGGCCTTCCCAAGAAGTCTTTAGTTTTTCTGTGTCTAGTATCTATTAGGTTAGATATGGCTTAAATGAACTGCACTGGAATTACTTATTTGATAAACATAACTGTATAAAAGATACAAAAACAAATCACTTATAAAAGTTTTTAGCAGGATCTGTAAATGTATTCTTGTGTATATTTGACAGCATGTTTCCCCAATTCTGTGGGAAACCTATACTGAAACACATTAAAATTCATGAAGCCGAAAAAGTCAAATAATATATTTGAAATAGGAATTGAATTACTTATAGTCTCAGTAATGAAAACTAAATCTAAAAGAAATATAACTAATGTAACACATTCTCCATGTGTAAAGTATATATTGATTATAGAATTTATAAAAGTAATTTTCCTATGTTGAAGAAAATTCACGAAGATTAAAAATCATCAAGGCCAGAACTGATTAGGTGCAAATCTGAAAGGACTTACATCTTAGCTGGAGGAAAAGAAATAAGATCTATATATTCTGATTTACTCAGGATGAAAACTAGTTATATTCTAGAGCCATCTCCTTCATAGTGCTCCCAGGGACCTTCAACAATAAATTTTATAAATACAATCAAAGATAATAGTACCAATTGTTTGCAGGTAGAAACCTATCACCTAAGTAAATTAACACTGGACATAATACAGATCAGAAAATTTTTTATTATTTAGTTTACTTAAAAGGTTATAAAAATTCAGCCTTTTTGCCTGTTCTGTAAGTAGATGTTATCACTCAATTTTTGAAGACTTCAAATCAATTAACTCAGAACTTTAAAAAGCATTAATGATCCCTTCTGAGGCAACTTGTGTATCCTACTGTTCCAATAAGTCTAGAGATTTAGAGAAGATAAAACTGACAACAATCTCCATAATCTAAAAGCTAGGTGAAACAAAGTCCTCATGGTTCAATCAAGGGTCAAATGCAGCCAGATCACTAGACTGGCATACTAGTGTTGACTAAGTAACTTCTAGCAGCACACTGCCTGGGACAGCCATGAGCAAACGCTTTCATTCAACTGCAAATTAATTTCTCTGTAAGAAATAATTTTTAAAAGTGCTCTATTGTTCACCTGCACGCAAACGTGAAAGATATCAAAGATCTTGTTTCTCTCCGTTTTTCCCTGTAGAATCAGGTGCACCTGGAACCTTATTAGTTTCAACGAAAACAGATTCAAAGGCAGCTTCCTGCTCATCCAAAGAGCTGGCAGTAGTAACTCCGTTAATTGATGCAGGGTTGGTAAAAGATTGTTGTTGCTTGAGAATTTTACTAGATTCCACTGTTTTTCTGCCTCTTCTTTTACCCAGAATTTTGACATAATTTGCAGGGATCAGTCCTGTTGTGTGGCCATCAAGACTAGCCAGAAGCCAACCACGCACTTTGGGCTGTTGTTCTGGAGAAAGAGAAAGAGAGCTCTGAAACTGTACTGGAGCCAACAGAATATTAATGATAAAGAATGCTAAGCGAAATCCAAGTCTCACAGTGAGATATGTAAACTAGTTTGGGCACACACTCTCAAAAGCAAACTCTAGCACACTTACCTGTTCTAGATCCATTTTTCTTTTAAACAAGAGATGGAATCTCACAGTTGCCCAGGTTGGCAATCCTCCTGCTTTAGCCTCCCAAGTAGTAGGGACAATAGGTGTGTGCCAGTGTGCCTAGCTTCAGTTTCACCCTTAAATTTATAGTTTAGTAAAGTAATAAAAGTATACAAAGTAGTAAAACCAAAGTGTTATAAAGTAACTTTATACTTACTAAATAGTACTACCTTGAAGATCATGAAGTTTTTATCTGTAAGGAGAATCACTTCTTTCAAAAGCTGAAAGTTAGGTGGGTGGTGGTGGCACACGCCTTTAATCCCAGCACTCGGGAGGCAGAGGCAGGTGGATCTCTGTGAGTTTGAAGCCAGCCTGTTCTACAAGAGCTAGTTCCAGGACAGGCTCGAAAGCTAGAGAGAAACCCTGTCTTGAAAAACCAAACCAAACCAAACCAAACCAAACCAAACCAAACCAAACCAAACCAAAAAGCTGAAAATTAACATCAATGTTGACATTGCTATATACCTGTAAATGCTCAAGAGGGTAAGGCAGGGGGATAACAAGTTTGACAGTCTGAACTCAGACTTTGCTTGAAACAATCAAATCAACAAAAACCTATCAGTGTCTTTCCAAGTTTGAATCAGAGTCTGAGAAACTAATACTTTTGTACCATATACTGTGTAGGGATGAACAGAGTTTGGAACTTAGGGGTTTTGATTCAGAAGAGAATCTATAGGGAAGAATTGCTGGGACACCACTATGGGGTATTTGATGTGGGATTCTCCTTTGTATGATATGAATGTGTTTTATTACCACTGATTAAAAAAGAAGAAGCTGCTTTGACAGAATAGAGCTAGGTGGGAAAACTAAACTGAATGCAGGGAGGAAGAAGATGGAGTCAGAGAGATGCCATATAGTTACCAAAGGAAAAAGATGCCAGAACCTTACTGGTTGGCCACAACCTCGTGGTGATACACAGATTAATAGAAATAGGTTAATTTAAGATTTAAGAACTAGCTAGAAATATGCCTGAGCCGTCAGCCAAACGGTGTTGTAATTAATATATATTTTGTGTGGTTATCTGGGTCTGGGTGGCCAGGAAACTAAAGCGCAGTCTCCGTTTACAGGTATCTTCTGACTTTACTGTTGCTGACACAAGGTCTCGTTTACACACCATTAGGAGGGACTAATTGGGAAGAGCAAGGTGGGTAAGCAGGGGTGGGAGGGATGAGAGGAGGTTAACACCTGTGGTCCTAGCCCTTGGAAGGCGGAGGGAGGAGGACATGAGTTTGGGGCCAGCCTGGGCTAAACAGTGAGTTCCAGACCGGCCTGGGCTACAGTATGGATCAATCCCTTCTCTGCAAAAATCAATCAACCAATCAAAAGACAGACAGACAAACATATACATACACACTCTGACAAAAGTGAAGCTTTATCAACCACTCGCAAGTTAACTAGTAAGGTCCTGTGTTTCAGTTTCCAATACTACCTTCACAAGTATTAAAAAGTCAAGATATTTACAATTTATTCATGATTTGTTACCTTTGAGAGCTAAATTTAGCATATCACCAGCACGGAAAGAAATTTCTTCATCAGACACGGCATTAAAATCGTATTCTGCTCTAGCAACTACATGGTCATCCTCACCACTTGCCCAGTTGATGTTGTCTATAAACAAAATTAAGACTCGGTTAATAAAGTTTGTAAAATACAGATATTCATTAGCTATGACTTGTAAACTATAAATTCATTTGGCAAGTGGACAGGTCTCTCTTCCTATGTAAACCCGAAAACACACCCTGAGCTAAATAAATGTTTACAAACTCCCCCCTTTCCTTAAACTCTCTTACAGTCGGGTTGACAATTTTTTTCTTCTCCCGGTAGAGGGCCAGTAGAATACATTTTAGATCTTAAAGGCCAGAACCAAAGTTTATATAACAAGAAAAAAAAAGAAGTTTCATGTTTTTTCGGGACAAAATTCAAAGATTTTTTTTTTTTTTTTTAGATCGGTGCATGTTTACAAGAAAGAAATATTTGGGGAGGAGGATAATAATATTTAATTTATTTTTGGTTCAACTGCAAATATTCATTAATGGATGCTAACTGGTAGTAAGATTTGAGGCACAATTCATGGGCATCCGAGTTTGACTGGGGGATGAACAAACTGCTCATCTATAGACTGTGCTGTGCACCACGTTAGTACACTGTGACCAATCACTTCCACATGACAAATAAGTGTTAAGGAGGTTCTGAAATACGGACAGTTCCTTTGCATTCTGAAGTTCAGAACTAGTTCTCGCACTGCAGTTTGAACTTTGAAACCTAGATGGGAGGGGAAATCTCACTTTAACATTTTTATTAGCATATACTAATCACACATAATAATGGATTTTATTATGACATTTTCAGAAATTGCTATAATGAATTTTGATCATTTATGTTCCCTTTATCTTCTTGTCCCCTCCCATTCCTGCTGACCCCCTTGTTTTTCCAACTAATCTGTCTTCTACTTTTATTATATTCATGAAACCCTGACACATATTAAAACAAAAGACAAAAAAGCAAGAAGATAAAGTCAGTATTTCCAACTTCAACTTAATTATTTTTTTAAAAAGATGATTTATATGGACGTGTGTATGTGTGTGCCACACGTCTGTGGTTCCAACAATGTCAAAAGAGAGGCCCTGTGAGCCAAAATGTAAGGCTGAGAAACGATTCAGTGATCTGTGAAATGTCTGTGAATCTCTGAACCACACAGTATGTGCTCTTAACTGCTGCACCATCTCTCCTGTCCCCACTTCAGCTTCTGACACTACTTAATATAACTGACAAAAGTTATATGCCACTGAAACTACTAGCTTAATAATATCTAATACATATTCTCTTGCTGAGTAAAACAATGAGTAATCATAGACTTAAAAACTTCCTCTTGAAAGATTTGTAAATTTTAACTAAACAGTTTCAAACTCCACTTACACTTTTATCATCAGTTGCAATATATCTTAGTAGTGTCTACCCAGTGTGTTTTCCATTTTTAAAACAGTCACATTATATAGATATTCACAGCTACCAACTACATCATCACTTCGAATTCACCATCGCTGCTTCAGTAACGGAGAACTATCAGGATCTACTAGGTTATCACAAGCCAGAGAAAGCTACTCAAATAATTTGCCCTTTTCTTATTTTGGGGTTTGACCCCAAGTCCTTGTGCAAGCTAAGCGCATGCTCCGATACTAAACCATACCCACCATCTTTCATTTGTCTTGTTTTCAGACGACGATGTCATTCTGAAAGTTCAGAAACTGCTCTCATTACTGTCTCTGAATAAATTTATTTGGCTGTTGCAATAATTATTATCAATAAAGATTTTCTTCACTCCACTGACTAGCAAAGGAAACCCTGGTTGTAGCTTCTTTTTCCTTTTTTTGGGGGGAGGGGGTAAGAAAATTTTCTGGTAAGAGTCCCAACTTCAGTCTTTCTAGTGTTGATTACGAACACTGTTCAGTCTGGTGATGGTATTCATCCAACACAGCCATTCTGCCACTGCATAACAAAAACAGTATTTCACCAACACTCGACCACTGTGTCTTTAAAGTGTAGCTCTCCAAGTTTACTCTGCCTTTTCAGTTCTGTGTGCTATATATGAACCCACCATGAACGTAGTATGAGACATTGCTCAGATGGAGAGTACTAGCCCAGCACACTTAAGGGTCTAGGTTTAATTCCCAGGAGCAACATCACCACCACCAAAAAATACTGCAGCTGTTTTAGGTCTCTTGCTGTGAAGAGATACAGTGATGATGGCGACTCTTATAAAGAAATGCATTTAACTGGGCTGGTAAGTTTAGAGGCTTAGTCCATTATTCTCATGGCGGGGGGAAGCAGGGAGTACGGCAGCACACAGGCAGACATGGTAACTCAGAGTTCTACATATGGATCCGCAGGCAACCAAAAGAGAGAGAACCACTGGGCCTGGCTTGGGCTTTGGAAGCCTCAAAGCCCAAACCTAGTGCCTAGTGATACACATCCTCCAAAAAGGCCACACTTCCTGATCCTTTCCCTGGTGACTAAGTATCCAAATCTATGAGACTCCGGGGACCATTCTCATTCAAACCATCATAACAGTGTAACAATGCGGCACTCTCTGTGGTGCCGAAGTGTAACTGAGCTTTTGTAGTATGCAGACCAGAGGTGTGAAGCAATTACAGTGCCACATACAGTTTCTACAAGCTACTCCACTGTTTCAACATAAAACCAGTCATAGGAATGTGCAAGTAGGGCTGTGTGTCAGGAAAACTGTTTAATAGACATTGACATCTGAATTTCCTATAATCTTTACATGCCAAAATTCTTCTGTGGTTTTTAAAGTGTGTTGTATATGTGTTCATGAGAGGGAGAGAGGAAATAGGTAAAGAGAGAGAGAGAGGGAAGGTCAAAGATTGATGCTGGCTATCTTCCCAGATCACTGCTGACACAGTGTTTCTTAGTTGAACTTGGAGCTCACAGACTGTATGGTGGATAGGGTGGATAGGCTGGCTGGGATTGGGTCAGGAATCTAGCCTTGTCTGTCCACCCGTGCTAGAGCCACACACACAAGACTCCTACATGGGTGCTGGGGATCCAAACTTAAGCAAGTCCTTCTCTTTGTCTAGCAGACATGTTGCTGGCTCAGCCATCTCCCAGCCTCTCTCCTGATGTTAAACATATTCTTTTATCTGATTACTGAAAACAGTAGTCTTATCTCACATGCCGACAGCAGTGGGAACCGTGCAGGGTTAGCAGAGGCCTATCTGTGGCAAGTCTGCTTTATGCAGCAGGAAAGCGAATTTTAAGAGCCAAATTTCCTCAGTTTTGCTTCTCAGAAGTAAATCTTACCTACTATCTATCTCAGATAGACACCTACCTTCTTTTATCTGGTTCTCTGTGCCGCATTTTTCTCCTCTTTTCTATAAAAAGGCTTCATTACTCAATTCCTCCACCTATCCCTAATCTATAATCACTCTTTTCCTATCTACTCCTTTCTTCCTTTTTTTGTCCCCCCCCCCCAATATTCCTTTTTGAGACTTAGTGTGTAGCTATGGGTATCATGGAACTTGCTATGTATGCCAAGGTGGTCTCAAACTTCTACCAACCTCCCTGCCTCTCTCCCAGTGCTGACATTATGTGGTATGGGCATCCCCATGGCATTTTACCTCTCCTTTGCCCTAAAAACATCATGAGATCTAACTTCCTTTTCTCTTTTTTTTTTTTTTGTCTTCCTTCCTTTTCTTTTTTTGAGTCAGAATCTTAATACAGCTCCTTGGCTATCCTGGAACTAGTTACATAGATTTGCCTGCCTTTATCTCCAGGGTCCTGGGATTAAAGGTATGTACCAACACAGCCCCCGGAGATCTAATTTCTTAACAGACAAAGCGGGGCTAAGAATGTATAGTTCAAGGAATGACCACTGTAAGCGCATGCAAGGCCTTGAGTTCAGCCTGCATGTGAATGAAAACCAAGAAACAACTACATTGATCCTATTCTGCTTTTCCCTCTCCTGTTCACTGCACACCTTCCCCACCTCAAAAGTTTGTCTTTTCCACTTTACCAGAAGCATTTTCTGGAGCTCGAGGTGCTCTAGTTGGCAAATCTGATCTCTACTCAGCCCTTCATCTTACTGTGAAGCAGCCTTCACCAACCTTCCTTAAGGTTCCTGTCCTTACCGTTGCTTCTACATGCAGCAGCAATAACAGGGCACTTCCTGTTCAAGGTGATTTCTTGTGTTCTCTTCTTGGTTTCTCTAGTACAGTGATCCCATGCACTACTTCAACTGCCACTTCTGTATGAATGACTCATAATCTTATTTATTTCCTAAGATCTTTGATTGCCTTCTTTCTCTCCTTCTACATGAAGGTAGGTACAAGAAGTCAAAATCAAGTTGCCACGCTTGGAGGTAAGCACTTTTACCTAAAAAAATCTAAAAGCTTTCTGTCTGTCCTCCCCTCCCCCCGCCCCACCGTGTGTGTGTGTGTGTGTGTGTGTGTGTGTGTGTGTGTGTGTGGTCCACCCACCCCTGCCTTTAAAAGTGCTTTTTGAAACTCAACAGAGTGACTCCTATCTGTAATCTAAGCACTTGGAAGGCTGAGCCAGGAGGATTGTTGCAAGTTTAAAGTCTAGGCTACAGAATGAGAATCTGACTCAAATACACCCACAGAACATCCCAGTGGTACATCAACTCAACACAAGCCTAGCCAGTGTTTCCTTCCTCTTCATGTCCTGCTGCTCTTACATGCCACAACCACACTGACCTCCTTGCTGTTTATCTATCATGTTCGATATTGCCACTTAAATACCTCGAGGCTTTACTGTTTCAAGCTTTTCTCCAGTAACTAGAGTGCTTCTTTGCTCACCTCTTTTCGGGAGACCCTTCTTGAATATGTGCAGCACTACAGCTCTCTCCCCTTTTCTTTCATCCATGACTCCCCAACATCCCTGGTTATTTCTCTTTCCTACAGCACTTATTATTTTCCTACTTACTGCATGTCTTGTTGATTGCCTCCCACTAGACCACCACAAAACGTGTTTCATATCCCTGTCTTTTACAACTACAACTGACCTGTATTAGGCATTCAGCAAATATTTGTTTAATTAATAAAATATCCACAATAACTCAAGTTCAAATGTCTATGCCATTGATCCCTTCTTTGCTCTTATAAAGCACATCAACCAGCAACTGAGCCCACTGTATTTGTCCCGCTCCACACACTCTGTCAGGGTTTCAATCTCTTTCATCAAATCTAATTGAATGTCTCAAATTAGTAAGCCCTTTTAAAAAATGTGCCAAACAGGTCACTAGATACTGAATATAATCCAGCCCTTTATGATCTTACCATTATTTAACTGCAATCCATTTCAATCTGGATCTATCTCAAACACTTTGGAAAAATTGTTAATTGCTCTCCCTCTCACATGCCGGGCATCAGACCTAGGCCTTATATATACATGCAGACAAGTAAAGACTTTAGCAGTGACTTATACCTCCAATCCTCAGTTTGAACTCTTTAGAAAATTATGTTACAAATGCTTACCACAAAAACTACCAATAAAAAAAATCACCAATTCCTTACTAAATGAAAATTAAGTGTCACAACAACAATTAAGATCTTTCACCATTGGCCTTCAATCTAATTCTAATTATCCTTTTATTCTGTGTATAAAGACAGCTGTTGGCAAGGTCTCACATTTTCTGCTCATGTATTTTTGTTCAAGCTGTTCTACCTGCTTGCATTTGCTTGATGGTCCCTTTCTTCCTTTTATGGTGGTACTATTGATTGGACCCTAGGCTTCATACATACTATGAGCTATATCCCTACAATAAAAAGCTATCAAAAAGCTAATTCAGATGCCATTTTTTTCTAATTACCATGGTCAAAAATATTGGCTTCACTTTTCTAGAATTCTTTGCCAGCTGACAGACTGTGGGTTTAACAATCAATTGTTAGACCTGAATTTATTTCTGCCCCTTTTTGGCCTTCTTAAAACTGCCTGATATTGTCTTAATGACTTTCCTTCAGTAATATTTTAGAGAAATAGGGATTATGCTCTTTGGATCTTTATGTAATTCCCAACACCAAGTTCACTACTCTGTGGACAAGTTAGGTTAATATGTACTATTAAACTGAGTAAATTCATTAGCAAGCCTGTCCTGTTACTAAAGTATTCCTTGTCTCGTTTTGAAGCTCTTAACTACAAGTATAATTGCATTAAAACAGTAAATGCAAATGAATACTAGGAATGCTAATTTAACAAACCCATTCTTGAAGTTTGAGACTGTTGTTACATAGTTTTGAAGCTGTTTAATTATTCTGGTTTTTTGTTTGTTTTTTGAGACAGGGTCCCTTTGTGTACCCTGGCTGTCCCAGAACTTGCTTTGTAGACCAGGCTGGCCTTGAGCCCACAGAGATCCGCCTGCCTCTGCTTCCTGAATGCTGGGATTGAAAGTGTGCACCATTATACCCGGTTTGTTTAATGATTCTTACCTGTTACTTCATCACTGTGTGTAGACAGAAGTTTCCAGATAAGATAAGGACCACCAAGGATAACAGCGAAGAACAGGAAGATTGGCCAGGATTTTGCTGAGTTAGCTGCTTGGTCCTCGGCACCAAGACAGGCCACAGTTCTTTCACTTTCTGCCCACAGGTCCTCATCCTCTGAGCCTCTTCTTAAACCCATCATCCACTGCAACCGTCTATACAGGTATCTTATAGTCCTAACTAACGCGAAGGCAGAAAAAACCTTTGTAAAGTGTATTTTTAACCGGGAAAAGTGATTTGCTACATCCAATACAGCCCTGAAACTGTTATAGACAGCTGAAAAGGTAGCGTCCATCATCATGCTGACAGAGGCGAATGCGTGCACAATGCTCTCAATGGACTGAAATGCACCTCTACTGCTTTCTTCAGCTTGCTGAACAAATCTGCTGGGCGGAAGGTCATCTACACGAAGGCGGTTAAAGCCCAATCCATTATATCCATAACTGTAAGGGCTATAGCTTCCATAAAATGAATTTCCATAGGCTCCGTATCCAGAAGAAAACGAACTGTAAGCAGGTCTGAAAGTGTTTATGTTGCTGCTCCCCGTTTGCTGGGATGGCCTGGGAAGAATAGGTGGGGGCACTCTGGTAAGTGTTGGTTGTCCAGGTCTTGTCAATAAAGCAGGTCCCAGATCAGCAGATCTAAAACACACAAAAAAATTATGAGTTACTTAAACACAAAATAAATCCTTGTTCAATAATTAAGTTTTAATTATGGCTACTGTATTTTTCTGTTTGTATTAGAATTTCCATTTCTTTTAACTATATATAACTTGCTTTGAAAATTCCTTTTAAAAATGTTTTTTTTTTTTTAATTTAAAAAACTGTCTTTACTGTATTAAGCTTAATGACTTAAAGTCTGTATGCTGGGTGCTTTTCCACAGGAGCAGATTTGATTTCCAATACCATATGGCAGTTCATAACTGTCTACAACTCTAATAACTGGAGTCACAGGAGCTCAACACCCTCTCTGGCCTCCATGGACACCAGGTTTAATGCTCTTCTATGTGACATGCTTAAGTGCATTTAGTGTCCACAGCACACTGTTTTCTGACATGATCAGAACAGTAAAGGAGACTAAGCAAGCCTAGGACAGGACAAACGGTATGTTCTCAATGCTGTGTTTACTGTCCTCTGCTCATCTTTTCTTTTGAAAAAATTTAAACAGGAAAAAAAACCATGGCAGAATGCATACATATTTTTAAAGTAGATTCAATAAATACTATCATCTTATATTTACTTTTCCTCTTGTCCACAAATTCTGGAAACATCTGAAATTAACCTCTAAACTTAACAAATTACCCCTAAATATCTCAGAATACATCTCTCAAGAAAAATATATTTTAGACCAAATCATGCCACTAACCCATCACTGAAAACTATGTTTTATACAATCTATGATTCAATTAATATTAAAAACTAATCCATTTCCCAGAAATGTTTAATAAACAGCTTTGAAATACAATTTAGTTACCATCAGCTCACCCATTTAATATAAATTTTGATGTGTGTTTTTAAATATTACCAGTTGTACTATGATTATATTTTATTTTGCAACACTTTCATTACCACGCCCCCCCCAAAAAAAGATATCCTAAATTCACAGGGAGGGCAATGAGAATGAGGAGAAGTCATAACAACATACATGGAAACAACATAATGAAACCTATTGCTGGTCATGCCAAGTTAGTTTTAAAATAGTCTGTATTCACTTCAGTTTCTTTCCCACTCCCAACCTTTGCTAACAAACTCACTTTGTCTCTACAACCTTTTCTACTCCAGATATTTCATAGATAGTTGATTCTAGTTACTGAGGCAGGTATTTCTTTAAAAGATTTATGAACTGTACCAATACCAAATCATTATTCCTGGGAGTAATACAAAGGTTTACCCCTTCCCACCACAAATTGTCTTTGGTCAGAGTATTTTTTTTAATCAACAAAATGAAATGAGGGTAATTCCTATCAGAAAACATTACTTTGATTATCTGTGGACTTTGCCCATAATCTTTCGTGACTGCACTACACTCTCATTTCCTCAGGAATAGACAAGTTCTGGCCCTTCTCTTTGGTTCTGAGTAGACACTGAAGCTTATCCTCAGCATACTATGGGCAATGAACTAGCTCTCCAGCATGGACTGATGTACTGAGAAATACACTTTTGTTATGGTTTTAATTATGTGTTTAGGAGGAAAAATGCTAATTTGATATAATATAATAATGATTAAATGAGTGTAGCTAGCCTTCGTGTCTCATTTAAAAAATACAAAGGTTTAGGTTCCTGTAGCTTCAGGTCACTTTGTTTGCGATAGCCCATCCTGGCCTATAACTCAGTGTGTAGCTGCTAGCCTCTCTAGTACAAGGACTAAATGCATATGCCACATGCCTGTCGTTCTATTTTCATCAACCAATTAGTGCATATACTTGCTACATGTGCATTTCTGTTATATTGTTAATGTATCAGTAACTCATTGTCACCAGCACAATAACACATCTAATTCACATACTTTTTCTTTAGTAAAGCCTATCATAGCCATCTTGTACTTTGGAATATTAGATAGATCTACACTTGGGAGCCATTTTAAACAGTGAAATCAATTTGTTACTTTGAAAACCCCAGAACTGGAGTGGGACAATTCTGTATTCTGTCAATTATGTCTTAAATAAACGCTGATTGGCCAGTAGCCAGGCAGGAAGTATAGGTGGGGCAACCAGACAGGAGGTACAGGTGAGTCAATGAGAACAGGAGAATTCTGGGAAGAAGGAAGCTCTTTCTGCAGTCCTGCCCAGACACTGAAGAAGCAAGATGTGACCTGCTCCGCTGAATAAGGTACTGAGCCACATGGCTTCCACAGATAATAATAATGGGCCAATCAGTTTATAACTTTGTAAACCTCTGTGTGATTTCATTGGGACTTAACAACTACGGGAACTAGGCAACACAAGGACCAGGTGGGACAGAAACAAGCAGGCCCTCATGTTACACAGAACTAAACAGAACATGAGATGGGCATGTGTCACAGTATGCCTGTAGTTTTTGTTTGTTTCGGAGACAAATTCTTGCAATGCTGGATGGCCTAGACCTGGTTATATAGCCAAGGCTGGTCATGAACTCATGGCATTCCTCTCCTGTGAGTATAACTATTTAATTTTTAATACATTTATTTTTTTGAGATATGATTTCATTACTTACTACAGGCTAGCTTAGGACTTGTCTAAGTTGACTTCAAACTCATGCTCCCTCTGTTTCAGCCTCCTAAGTGCTTGAATTACAGGTATATGCTACATTTAACCTCAGCTTATCACCTGATGTCAGAGGTAATTTTTTTCCTTTTTACTTGTGGCATTATGTCATTCCTCACGAAGTTTCAGATTTTGGAATATTCATTACTCATTATAGACAAAGTATATTTATTCATATTTATCAGTTTGGGGACATCTGGACTGTTTCCATGCTTTGATTATTTTCAGTAATGCCATTAATAAAGACTTATATACAAGATTTGTAAGACATTTTTATATTTCATGGTCTATACCTATAGTGAATTGTGGCGTGTATACTAAATATTGTATTTTACTTTTGCAGGAACTGCCAGATTAGTTTCCAAAGCATCCTGTAACTTTACATTCCCACCAACAGTGTTTGAGATGATGGATTCCCCACGTTCTTGTTAATGGCATTTTTAAGTATTTAACACAATGGCCGACGAGTGACATCTCACTGTGGTCCTTTTGTTTGTTTTGAAACAGGGTCTTATGTAGCCCAGGCTGGCCTCAAACTTGTTACAACACCAGGGATGCCCCTGAACTTATCTTCTTGCTTCAACCTCCTAAGTGCTGGGATTATAGGCATGAGCCACCGCATCCAGTTTCACTGTGGTCTGCATCTGCATTCCTCTGAAGGGTAATAATGTTAAGTATCTTTTTATTTCCCTTAGGCCACTTTAAAATCTTACCATTCTACAGAAAAGTGTGTAGAATCAGCTACATACTTTCATCACTTGAATTTTTTATACTTTTTTCGTGTGTGACTATGGGGACTAGGCACATGGCACAGTGTGCATATGGAGGTTAGAGGACAGTAGAGGCATTATGTCCTCTTTCACACGTGGGTCCCAGGGTGTGGCTGCAGTCATTGGGCCTAATGACAGGTGTTTTACCTACAAAGCTCACTTTCTTCATCAACTCACTTTCTTCACAATGAAATGAGCTTAATCACTGTCTTTTTAGTATTTATCTTTATCATTGTGTTTGAAGAGTCAAAATGTCTTTAAAAATATATTTGTACTTTATGTGAAGAATGCTTTGTCTATATATATATATATATATATATATATATATATATATATATATATATATATATATCTCAAGCATCCAGTGCCTGTAGTGGCCAGAAGAAGGTATTGAAACCCTTGAAGCTAGAGTTACAGAGGCTTATGACCTGCCATGCTGGAGCCGGGCACCAAGCCTTGCTTCTCTGCAAAAGCAGCAAGTGCTCTTAAGTGCTAGGCGTTCTCTCCAGCTCCCCTGAAATGTCTTTTAAAACTGGATTTTGAATACAGAATTTAATTAGTTTACAGATTGCATTTGACTTTTTCTTTCCATTCTATTCTAAAGTAGGACAATCAGGGCCGGTAAGATAAGCTCAGTGCATAAAAATGCTGCCTTGCAGACCTGATGTCAGTTAGCTGGTTTCCACACATGTGGCTTGGATGTGTGTTTCCTCACCACACATGATCCTTGTTTATTTCACGTTTAATTACAAAACAGTAATATCTGATGCCAGGATAAAGCTTTAACTCAACATCATAAACAAGTAACACCAAATCTTACTTAAAAACAAACAGCTTGGCCCTAACCGCATCTGGAGATGTGTGTCTGGGTTCCCGGCTGGAGGGCCCTGCATTCTAGGCCCTAGTCCCTGGAGACACATACTGTGCTCCCCTACCAAAACCCCAGAGATGTGGGAGCAGCCTCCCCATACCCCCAACCATTCACTACCATGACTGTGACCACCTGTACCCGCCTATACCTGGAGGAGTGATCACCAGAGCCTGGGCCTGCCTGTACCTGGAGGAGTCCTAGAGTTGCATCAGTGATCACCAGAGGCACACCCCTGCCTGCACCTGGAGAGGAAGAGCAACTACCTAATCCACAGGCCTCACCTGCACCCACTGGAGGGAGAGATGGGCAGACAACAGTGTAGAACACATTCAGAGACATAAAGAGCAACATGGCACCAACAGAAACTAGTGGTTCTACACCAGAAAGGCCTGAACATCCCAACACAGATGAAGCAGAAGAAAATGGCGCATGCCTTTAATCCCAGCACTCGGGAGGCAGAGGCAGGCGGATCTCTGTGAGTTCGAGACCAGCCTGGTCTACAGAGCTAGTTCCAGGACAGGCTCCAAAGCCACAGAGAAACCCTGTCTCGAAAAAAACCAATAAATAAATAAATAAATAAATAAATAAATAACTTTATGAAGATGATAGAGGCCCTTAAAGAGGAAATGAAAAATTCCTTTAAAGGAGAGGAAAAGACAAACAAAAAATTGGAAGAAATCAATAAATCCCTTAAAGAAAGCAATGAAAGCCAAGAAAAAAGGTAATCAAACAGGTGAAGGAAATGGTTCATGACTTGAA